CCACAGCACCTGTTGCCGTTCTTTGTCTACTGTCCACCACCACCACCACCACCACATCTTATCGGATGGCAATTTGGCACAGAAGAAAATGCCCCATCGGGCCATCATTTGCCATTACCACTTGCCTTGTGATTTCCCTACTGCTCAGTCTTAGCCTTGCCCAAGATCGTAATAGTGATAGATCGGAGCCGCTGAAGGAGCAGCCCAAAGATGGTAAATGAACAATTTGTTAGATGCAAATGTTTGAGTTTACTCATTTAACTTTTTTCCCGCATCAGACGCTTCAACAACCCCAACCACAAAGGCCAGTGAAGAGACGACGACCGGTTATTTGCAGCCGCAGCAGCAATCCAGCTCTGGTTCGGGCATCACCTGCACCAAGGATGGCTTCTTCCGCCATCCTGACAACTGTGCCCAGTTTTACCGGTGCCAGGCGGGCGCCCGTTTCGACTTTACCTGCAGCCCTGGCATGCACTTTGACAAACGGTACAGCCTCTGCAACTGGAAAGCACAGGTTTATCCACCCTGTAGTCAGCCGACCAAGGCACAGACGCAGGAACAGGTTGCGTCGCCTACTACACAACAAGGACCACCACCTCCTTCTCCTCTTCCGGAGCAGCAGCAGAAGCAGCAGCCCTTTCCGCAGCCAAAAAAGCAACAACAGAAAACTGTAGCCTATTCAGGCATTGAGACTCAGGATGGTCACTATCAGACTCAGCAACAACAGCAGCCACAACAACCAAATTCTCTGGATCTAATCTCTTTTAAACTGTTTTTAGTTGCACCCAAAACTGTCCAACCAAACTACCCTCCGCTTGCCTCGGTTTAACAGAAGCCTCCTTCCCTTTCCTCCTCCTCCTCCTGCTTCTCTTCAGTTGCCTGCCACTCAAGCTCCTCAGTACCCAACGCCATGTCTGCTTCTAAAGCCAATGCAAAAAGGAATGAAAAGCGATTTGATGATGCGTTATAATCTTTTCCTTTATTAACAAGTAGTGGTGGTGGTGGTCAGCCGAGCATCATTACTCTCCATCCTCTTCTTCAGGAGCCGTACTTGTTGAGCAGCTGGTAGACCAGATCAAAGCAGACCATGCTGCTGCCCATCACCACCGGCAATTTAAACCAGCTAAGTGAGACGCCCTTGAAAAAGCCGCGGAGGCCCTCCTGCTCGGCGATGGCCACCGCCAGCTGGCGCATCTTCAGGTCCTCCTTGACGTTGGCCTGCATGCGGCGGCGCAGCACGTCAAAGGGGTAAATGAGCGTCTGGCCGAGCAGGGAGACGGTGAAGCCAAGGACGGTGTACTCCACCGCCAGCACCAGCTGATTCTTGCTGGTGGCCGCCTGCACAAAGTAGCTCATCTTGAAGAGCTCGTAGATGAGAAAGGAAACGCCCGTGTAGGGGACGTTGCCGACGATGGCGGCGGTGTAGCCGCGGAAGAGGCTGTACTTCCGCGCCTCTCGAGCCTTCATCTTCGGGTGCAGAGCGCGGCGAATGACGTGGCCGATTCCTCGGTAGGACTGGTCGGTGATCAGGCGGGCGCGGATGACGTCCAGAGGGTAGGTGGCGGTAATAGCGGCACCACCGCCGAGGGCGCCCGCCAGGAAGCCGAGCACCGGCGATTCGACGATCTGCTCGTAGGTGCGCACATTGAACCAGATGGTCAGCTGCTCGTGGACGGTGAATTGAATGGCCGCGTAAGGGGCGACGCGCAGCATGGAGGCGGTGTTGCCGCGCCACAGGCCTTTCCATCCTAAAAAATAAAGAGGTAAATAGTAGCAATGATAAGAAACAGTTTCAGAAACTCCGCACCAGTGTCGGCAACAATCTTTTCCGCCGTCTTGAGGCCCTTCTTGTAGGAGAAAGGCTTGCTCGACGCCTGGTAGATGATCTTCACCCGATCGAGCGGCGCTGTCATGCTCTTCACCACCATACCGGAAATGGAGCCGGAGATGAGGGCGTTGAGGACGTGCATCGTCTTGCTGTGCTCCCCGGGCTTGTCCTCAGCAGCAGGTGCGGCCATGATGCTGTTAAGGATATGAACAGTACGACAGTAACCGTGTGTGCTTTTTTCTGATGAGTTGTTGATAAAGTTGTCACCAAAGTTCAAATCAATAGCAATTCATTAGAACTGCTGTTTTATTGATGAAAAATGAAAAGTGGAAAAGGTTCGAAATGTCTGATATTAGCTACAAAACTTGAAACGCGCCCAATTGGACATTGGGTAAACTGGTAAACAATTTTTAACAAACTAGAACATGTTGTATATCATTTTAAAGATAAAATCACTGACTTTCAGATGGTTAAAGCAAAAGTTTAGAAAAGTTCAATCTCGCTCTGCTCGCGATAATTAAGCACACAGCAATTTTTTTCGAATTTTCGGTTTTCTTTTCAAGTCAACAACTTTTTTCAGCAAGATCTTTAATCACGCAGGTTCCATTATCTTCAAAACGGGTAATACCACACAAATGATCGAGGTGTCAAATGAAAGATGACAAAATTATCTAGATTTTGTTTGACTTGGATTTTTAAATTTCAGTTTTGTTGTATATTTAAAAAATTTTTGAAATATGCACAAACTCTATGTTAAGTCAATTTTCAAAATTTTTCGTTTTTTACCATCATTCAAAAATCATTATCTGAGACGTCAAACCACTTAAAAATATTCCAAGTCAGACAAAATCTAGATAATTTAGTCACCTTTTATTTGACACCTCGATCAATTTTTTGGTATTACTCGTTTTGAAGATAATGAAACCTAAATGGTCAGAACATTAGTGTCGTTACCGACAGCGACCCACTTATCGGAGGACCATAGTATCAACACAAAACTGTTCTACATGAAATTCTTAACAATCTTTATTAAGTACATTCTTCATGAACATCATAGCCACCCCAAAATCAAAATTCGAAAAAGCAGTTAAAAAGTGCGCGGTGTCCCCCTTAAACTTCAGCACCTCTACAATCGATTTACCTAATTGTGTAAAGGCCTGTTTAATAAAGCTGCAAATGCAAAC